TCATATTTCAAAAGACCTTTATTCCCGTAGCTATGCAGAAGACGTTACTTCAGTAACGTCTGGCGCTAGCCAGGGTCCACACAGCTTTAATTTGGTGTTCGTTTGTTTTTTGTTTGTGTCACGCCTGGCGCTATCCCGTATCTGTCCCGTACCGTACCATCAAACACAGCTGGCCACATACAGCTGGCCCCAATATTCAAATAGGGCTTTCAAACGCAAGATCATAACGTGAAGCAACTTGGAAGAATGAGTATGAATGCGAAGTGTATGGGGGAATGCATGTAGGGCGATAGTGCGGGTCCGAATCCCAGGTAATGCCTGAAAAAATAAGAGAATTGAAAAATTTATAACATCCCTTTTAATTTTTTGGCCTTCATCAAGGCGGTGGACGGTGTTGTATTACCCTCGACCGTACCTGTCCCGTATTTGTCCCGTACCTATCCCGTACCGTACCGTACAATCAAAGATGGCTGGCCACAATGCATATTCAAATAGGGCTTTCAATTACAAGATCATAACGTGAAGCAACTTGGAAGAATTTAGCATGTATGCGAAGTGTATCGGGGGATGCATGCAGGGCGATAGTGCGGGTTCGAATCCCAGGTTGTGTCTAAAACAAAAAGTAGAAACTTATAACCGCAATCAATAAAACTAGCTGAACCAACATTTGTGTTCTTTATTCATGCAATGTAAAAACGGTGGAGACGATGTGCAATAAAACGATGAAAATATGAAGAAATGGTGTAGGGAAAAATATATATGGATTCAAACAAGTTTTCGTACAACACTCATCAGGAATCGTCGTTGTACGAAAGGACACTGAAACAAAAATTGAACTATTATAGAAAATCTAAGTTGGAGAAATAACACTAAGAGCAACAACAGTGAAATTTACAAGTGTGAATTTTAACAATCAAAGCGAGAAATGAACAAAGGAGAAAGGAAGGAAAGACAACGTGATAACACATAACAGCAGTACATTACACCTAGAACATTAACGGCCAAGCTTGGCCGCACTAAACACGACACGTTACTTGAACAATTTCAACCCAATTATACTATCTTTCTGTACACACAAATTAGGCTTGTACAGACGCTGATAGATAGCTTCCAACACTTTTAACTGTAGTCCATAACCATGACGACCACGGCACAATACAGTGAACGAAGAGTCGGAATACGAATTGCAACAATCAGGACTAGCTAGCAGATGATTGTACACTGAAGACTTGCTAACACTGACAGCTGCATTAACACTACAAATGCCGACTCAAAAAGACCCACCTTGCATATCAGTAGCTCCCACACCAACACCAACAACGCAATCTACAGCAACCACAACTAATCCACCATCCAAGCCCATAATTGAAAGACCAAGATGATCAACAGCCAACTACAACAGAAGCTACGCACTCAGCGGACAAGGGCGAAAGGAGGGACGTGATAGCAGGGTGACGGCCGAGTTGAGTTCAATGGACCCGGTCAGGCGGGATGGACGAGACAGAGAGAGTACAGAGGAAGCGGAGGATGGAACGGACGGCGGAGGGAGCAGTGAGTCGGAGAGCAGTGATGGGAGTGATGGTGAGAATGCCGGTGAGAGTGTTAGTGTTGTGCGTAGGTTTCGTGGTAGCAAGTCTTCAGTGTACAATCATCTGCTAGCTAGTCCTGATTGTTGCAATTCGTATTCCGACTCTTCGTTCACTGTAATGTGCCGTGGTCGTCATGGTTATGGACTACAGTTAAAAGTGTTGGAAGCTATCTATCAGCGTCTGTACAAGCCTAATTTGTGTGTACAGAAAGATAGTATAATTGGGTTGAAATTGTTCAAGTAACGTGTCGTGTTTAGTGCGGCCAAGCTTGGCCGTTAAATGTTCTAGGTGTAATGTACTGCTGTTATGTGTTATCACGTTGTCTTTCCTTCCTTTCTCCTTTGTTCATTTCTCGCTTTGATTGTTAAAATTCACACTTGTAAATTTCACTGTTGTTGCTCTTAGTGTTATTTCTCTAACTTAGATTTTCTATAATAGTTCAATTTTTGTTTCAGTGTCCTTTAGTACAACGACGATTCCTGATGAGTGTTGTACGAAAACTTGTTTGAATCCATATATTTTTTCCCTACACCATTTCTTCATATTTTCATCGTTTTATTGCACATCGTCTCCACTGTTTTTACATTGCATGAATAAAGTACACAAATGTCGGTTTAGCTAGTTTTATTGATTGCGGTTATCAAATTATTGTCTCCTCGCCGTGTGTAGAAACTTATAAGAATTTATAACATCCCTATGCTTTTTTTGTCTAAGTCATCAAGGCAAAACAGCATAGCGTAGGGCCCTGAGCTTCCAAGCTCTCTCGTTACATTATTTTTGCATCGGTTATAGTGATTGATGTAAAATCAAGTGTTGTCAAAGGAGACCAGGGTGTTACTTCTTGGTGAAGAACTTGTCCAGTGTTTTTTGGTGAGTTCTGCTTGAACAAGTTGCCGAATATGCCTCCATTGTGAGGAAATCCTGATGTTGTGTGTCAGGAGCCTTGGCTGCATAGAGTGCGTTTCTCAATGTGTCCAACGCCTTGAACACCTCTGCGGATGATGGCGGCTTTGTTGGAAGATCTTCCTGATGATCATCATCATCTTCATGGTCACTATCCTCGCCTGCTAACTGCGCAACAATAGTTGTGGCATCCTCAGATGGCGGACATGAGGTAGGTTCTGCATCATCCCGGTCATTCAGCTCTTCAATGTCTTCGGCTAACTGATCAGTGACAATAGGAGGCTCGTCTTCATCAGGATGATCAGCATCAGTATCATCTATGGTAGGCGAACCATCCCTAGTGTCATGAGCGGGGGAACGAGCCTAGCCTTGCGCCAACAGTTACGGATAGCTGTTTCTGTAACGCCTTCCCAAGCTATCCTGGAAAACTGCAAACAGTGCATCATGTTGATATTCTGCCGTAGAACAGTTGAGCTCACAACTGGTACTGAATCATCCTCCAACAGCCTGTCGACCTTTGTTAGCAAGGATCGTCGGTAGTGCGACTTGAAGCACATGATGATTCCTACATCACATGGCTGAATTACACTAGATTACACTGAATTACACTGGATTACACTGAATTACACTGAATTACACTGAATTACACTGAATTACACTGGATTGCACTGGATTACACTGAATTACACTGGATTACACTGGATTGCACTGGATTACACTGGTGGTGTTGGGATTACACTGGTGGTGTTGGGAGGAAGAAACACCACTCGCACCGACTTGAGGCTATCTGCAATTGCGTCCAATGTTTGTGCTGGACAGTTGTCGACTAGCAGGACGATGGACTAGCTCTGGTGAACTTATTATCCAAATCCACAAGCCAACTGCAGAGCAACTGGCTGTTCATCCAAGCCTTGGGATTGCTTTCCCACTTGCCCTTCAGCATGGCAGCTGGGGTAGTGTTGGCTGCTTGGAAAGCACAAGGCAGTTGTGAACATCCTATTGCCAGAAGGGGAAGCTGCGAACCATCCATACAGGTGGTGATGGCGAACGTCACTCTGTCCTTCTGTGCCTTGCCTCCTTTCAGCTTCTCATCGATGCGAGACAGTGTCCTGTTTGGCAATGCACGCCAAAACAAGCCCGTTTCGTCCATGGTGTAAATGCGGCTGGGTCACTATCAACACTGGCGAAAATCTCTGGCCACTTGTGATTCACAAAATGAACTGCAGCTGCCGAATCCGCGTCGGCTGCTTCTCCATGCAGCGTTTTGGACACGATGCACCGCTTCTTCAGAAAGCGCTGGATATGCGACTTCCAGGCGGTGTCTGTTGAAGGCAATGACAATCGTGAAACAAGTTTCTGCTCCACGGGTGTGTCGGCAATCTCCTTTCCTTTCACAATAAGCATATCGTAATTCATTACCTTTGGGTTCTTCTTCCTACATCTGTCATAGAATGTTTCCAAGCCTTTTTCTAACAGTTCGCAGTTTGTCTGACGGTTCTTCATCAACTTGGACGTGCCCTTTGCTGCCGTCTCGAGTGTCGCTTCTTTCCGCTTGAGAATGGATGATACAGTCGGCTGGGCAACTCCAAGGTGACGAGCGACATCGGCTTGACTCCTCTTGGGGTTGTCGCTTACGTACTTGATGGCCTTCAGCTTGTCATCGACTGACATCGACTTCCGAACTGAAACCTGCTTAGCCATCGTTGCGGCGTCAAACATTGATGTCCTTTCAACAAAGCGTTCAAAACAAATTCTTTTCAAACTAACTTCGCGAAGGAGCTTCGACAATAGCAGCTGTGCGAGAGCCTTTTTGTTAGGAGAACGAACTGCGTCCATGCCGCGTACAAGTCAGATATGTACATTATACCGTACGGTGCGGTGCATGCATGTGTACACAGGACGTAGAATCTAGCTACGGACTACGCTAGTCAGCTGTGCAGTACGTAGAGTCAACGAGTACGGCGCGCTGAGTCACTTGACACCCCACTCGCATACGTTGCATGCAGCATGGTCATAGTAATAATTATATCGCTTATAGTGATAGAATGCTCAAAATCAAACACCAACACTATAGGCGATACTGACTGTACATGGATTTTCAAATGGTGGTAAAACACACCTGGCAGTGTGTGTGTGTGTGTGTGTGTGTGTGTGTGTGTGTGTGTGTGTGTGTGTGGTGTGTGTGTGTGTGTGTGTCTGTGTGTGTGTGTGTGTGTGTCTGTGTGTGTCTGTGTGTCTGTGTGCACCTGGAGCCTCATCGAGCGTCGTGTCCTCTCTCTCTTCTCAAGTTTCCCAGTGATGGGATCACGTGACCCTTTTGCGGCAGTGACTCTACAGGACAGGACAGATGTGTGTGTGTGTGTGCGTGCGTGCATGTGTGTGCGTGCGTGTGAATGTATACAATCATGGTGCTTGTACATCGGCATGGACAGTATGTTTCACATTCTAGCTGTTTGACGGGCTTGGCCCTCTACTCTACTCTACTCTACTCTACTCTACTCCTTGCAGACACGTCGCAAGCTGACCACCTCTCTACCCGCCGGCAGCGAGAACTCCTCGCTGAAGAAGCAGAGTCTACACGACATGCTGATAGCACCGGTGCAGCGACTGCCCCGCTATCTGATGCTGCTTCAAGGTACATGCAATGGCAGTGTATCGGTGTATCGGTGTATCTGTGGTGCATTCAGCTGTAATGTGGTGTATGAATGGTAATGTTGTCACTGCTAGCATCACCACACATTGTCATTGTAAGAGTACGAGCAGCTATGAATGTGTGCAAGGAATGTGTGCAAGGCGTCCTCTTCTATGAAGACAAGGTACAGTAAAACCTGGTGTAAGCGACCTCTGCTTTTAGTGACCACCTGCTCTTAACGACCGGTTTTCCATGCACAGACAGATCTACACAGACACTGTGGGACCTAATTCTTAAGACCACCTGGCTTTAACGACTGCTTTTACTTACACCGTGGGGTGTCACTTAAACCAGGCTATACTGTATTGTGATCCTGTCATCATTACATCATCATTACATCATCATTACATCATTATTATACTATCATTTTAGTTTTGATGGTTCACACTGCTCCTGTGCATATTGCACACAGGTATTCTGACTTCCACTCCGGAGTCCCATCCTGACAAAGCTGACGTGTCCAGCGCTGTCGACAGCATCAAAGCAATCAACGAGTAAGCATGATGGTTGTTTGCGGTGCTGATGGTGCTGATTACGCTGATACTGCAGGTTGTAATCCTGATCTGGATGATACTGCAGGTTGTAATCCTAATCCGGATGATACTGCAGGTTGTAATCCTGATCCGGATGATACTGCAGGTTGTAATCCTGATCCGGATGATACAGCAGGTTGTAATTCTGATCCGGATGATGCACACGTGTACAGAGGTTGTGCGACCTATGTCCTACTTTTAATGCACAACACCTCAGGTGATGGCGTGACCACGTAAAAAGATGGACTTCTAGCTTGTGGCCATAAATGGGTCAAACTTTAAAGGGGAACTGTCACCAAAAATTTTCTTTGTCTTATCTTGTAGTTCCTTGGCTCCTGATCTCGATGGTGTTATCCGTTTTTCTCTGCGATGGCTGGAAGTGGGTGAAAACTTGAAAAGAAGGTGCCCAAAATTGTCCCGAAGTACCGAGTGACGTCACGCCGGACTTGACCTCCACGCGTACATTCGTCGTCAAAAACGAAGTCCAGCCCGTGTGCTGGTCGATTGAGCTAGCCGATATCGCGATGTACGGTGCACGTGTGCCTTTTGAACTCTAACACAGATGGGTACGTCGTACCGAAGGAGAATGCCAAAGAGGCAGAGACCCACGTGCAGCTACACAGCCAAATCAAAATAAAAAGCAGCTGAGCTCTCACCTTTTTGACTTCTTCCGCGAGGATCTAAGTTTTTTATTTTGTGAGCACGGAAGTATGTCGTTGTTTCGAACTTTTCGTGTGAGGAACAACACGATGATGAGCGCGTGTGCCGAAAACAGTACTCCTCCGGCCGGCGACAACACCACCAACCCGAGCCCCAAAGGAACGCAATGTAGCTACGTGAAGGCGATTCATCTGGCGATGTTGCTGAAGATGCAGATGACAAACTCCGACGTCTTTCATTTCAGAGTCGGGTGGGCAACACCGCCACCTTCGATACAACGACATAGTTTTCAAGTACGAGGTATGTGTGTCACACTAACACCAAACACACATCCTTCCACTCCTTCGTAATCACAAATAAAACAAAGAGCTGGAGCTTCGTTGAGGAAGTACCAGTGTGACAAACTTCTGTCGACTTTTGTTTGGTTTTGTCCCTTTTTGGCGTTCTCATTGTGTACAACGTACACATCAGTGTCCGAGTTCAGAAGGCAAGCGTGCACCGTACATTGAACAGTTGGCTCGATCGACCAGCACACGGGCTGGACTTCGTTTTTGACGATGAATGTACGCGTGGAGGTCAAGTCCGGCGTGACGTCACTCGGTACTTCGGGACAATTTTGGGCACCTTCTTTTCAAGTTTTCACCCACTTCCAGTCATCGTAGAGAATAACGAATAACACCATCGTGATTAGGAGCCAAAGAACTACAAGATAAGACAGAAATTTTTTGGTGACAGTTCCCCTTTAAGTTATTTTTAGAATTTGTTTGGCCATCCCCTATGGAACGCTCTTCCAATTATGTTTCTGAAGTCTATTTCTCCAAAAATCAAACCGTAACAACAATAGGAGTTCAGCCAGGTTTTGCTCCAAAAGCACTGGATTGGGAAAACCAGGCCGCTTCGCTCTTCTTGTAACGGTACATTGTGCTGTTTGAACCCCAGTTGAGGTACCTTTTTTGGACCCTCTTCAAGTTTCAAGTTTCGCGGCACTTCACCATGTACGATAAAATTGCCAAAAAAACGGGAGCTCGCCAGAGCCACGGCCCATCTTTCTTTATGAATGGCCTGTAGGCACAATGCACCGATTCCCGTAGTCATAGGCCAGGTTTGATGACTTCATGCATGTGCCGCCGGTGTTCTTGCCTTTGACTGTACGTGTGCGTGCGTGCGTGTGTGTGCGTGCGTGTGTGTGCGTGCATGCGTGTGTGTGTGTGTGTGTGTGCGCGCGTGCGTGCGTGCATGCGTGCGTGTCTGCAGGAAGATCAACGAGATGAAAATGGCACATGAGGGTGAGCAAAGGCTGGCAGAGCTGTTGCGGGAGATTGACGGAGTACCTGTAAGTACGAACACATACAGACCAGGGCAGCCTGCCTGCCTGGCTGGGGACATGGCTAGGAAGTGGTCTGGACGAAAATGCACTGATTCCAATGGTGAAGGTCCCAAGTTGATCGGAGCAGCCGTTCCCGAGTTATACCAGCTTGAAGTTTGCACTAGATTTGGTGACATCATGATGATGTCATTAACTTGTCCAGACTAGCCCGGATTTATGACGTCACAGAGATAGACATTGTATGGGAGTAGATTGGGAAATCACAGTATTTTGGCTCTCCACTGTCCCAAAGAAATGGGATATTTTCAAACTCCGGTATGGGACATATGGCACCCTACGGTATCCTGACTGGAAAATATTCTGGTAAGAAGTTCGTTTTTGTAGAGAAACAAGGAAGAAATCGGTCTTTTCCCATCTACTTACATACAAAGTCTTTCTCTTTGAAATGCAAAAGATATGACAGTGTGTGTGTGTGTGTGTGTGTGTGTGTGTGTGTGTGTGTGTGTGTGTGTGTGTGTGTGTGTGTTAACTGTTTGTGCGCTTGTGTGTGTGTGTGTGTGTGTGTTTGTGCGTGCGTGTGTGTGTGTGTTTGAGTCTCTCTCCCCTCTCCCAGGGAGACCCACGTGACCAGTTTTGGCAGTGAGCAACAAGTACAAGTGCAAGTGTGTGTGTGTGTGTGTGTGTGTGTGTGTGTGTGTGTGTGTGTGTGTGTGTGTGCGCGTGTGTGTGTGTGTGTGTGTGTGTGTGTGTGTGTGTGTGCGCGCGCGCGCGCGTGTGCGTGTGTGTGCGCGTGTTTTTGTGTGTATGTTTTTGTGTGTATGTTTTTGTGTGTATGTATGCTTGTGTTCTGAGCAGGAAGCAGTAGCCACAGGCAAACGTTGGGTGGTGAACGAAGCCAATGTGGTCATGGTGGACGGTAGCTATTCCCCGGGCCAACGCACTGATTTGCCCGTCAAGTTCCTAGTGTTGTCGGACTGCATTCAGGTAAGCACTGGTGCTGTGAACATGCTCTTGCAGCTGCTGAGGTGCTCTAATACTAGTAATAGCGGGATTTCTGGTACTGTGTGAGCAAAGTAAGTCCTGGACGGAAAGAGGTTGTTAAGAGCTCTACATCACTTTCATCATAGCCTAGGAGCTGTGGCATCATTCATGATCCACCGCAAGAAGCCAGCAACAATACCTGTACCTATGGTGAAGTAAAAATAATGGTATCATAACATAACATGATTGTATTGATTATACCCACCGTAGTGCTCGGTGAAATCCAACCCAGAGTGCACATTTGGTGCCCTCAACTTTCACGGCCCTTGACGCCCTGGAAGTGGTACGAATGCGGTTGTACGTACACTTGTACAAGTGAAGTGATGTAATCGGTATACAAGTGAAGTGATGTAATCGGATGTGTGCCCGGGAACCAGTGTTGCACTTTGGGTGGGGCTTCAGTAAGCGCGACTGCTGCTGGGATCAGTGCAAGTGGCTGCTGTGCCAACCCCAGTGACATCTAACATGGCCAGACGGTCTGCCTCTCCTGTCTACTCCCACGGTATCTATCCAATGGCTGGTGTCAAATGTCTGAAGTAACACTTAATTTCTGTTTCTCAGAATCTGTACACGTGCTTCACAGTTGTGCTAGGTGAACTCCCACTCAAAGTACAACGCTGGCACAAAGGTGGCACCCTGGATTTGCCCGTAAAATAGGTCGTTAATACCCCGGAAAAAAAAGAAGAAAAACCTGGACCAGCCAGTCCGGCTACATGGCTGTAGTACTGTATACATCCAGCCTGTACATATAATACACTTTCTGTACATGGCTGTAGTACTGTATACATCCAGCCTGTACATATAATACACTTTCTGTACATGTATCACATTACACGTATAAATGCATGTACACACTATGATCTGTTCTGTTCAGATTGTTCTGAGGACGTTCACGAATCGTCAGCAGCATCTGACGCATCACATTGCCATACCCTACTCGGCGGTGCTCTGGTTTTGTCGATACTTTCATGACAGCACGGATCCTGCAGGTACGGTGGTGATGATGCATGTATGCCGATGGTGTTGTTCATTTGGTATGTTAACTGGCTACTACTTTCTAGTCTCTCCTTTCTGCCAGAACTTGATGGTGGTGGAAAGATCCTATCATTGTCACATTTTGACTGCAGTTTGTCGCTCATTGTGCAAATTCATCTTCCCATTAAGTACATGTATGTTTGCAGCTGTGTACATACCACGCATACACGCATACTTGTACAGTGTTGCTCAATGAAATCTGGTCGCGTGAGTCAAGTTTGCCCCTTGCACCTGTGACCATTTCGCAGCCCAGTGTTCGCAGGTCTAGGGATGCGCAACGCCCAGCGCGTACTTGAGTGACACTGTGACTGGATTTCATTGATCAGTACTGTACATTGCTGGCAAATCTGCACCTTGCTTGGCACCTGTTCCTGCACTCTCTAGTTGCATGACCGTGAGCAGGTGAGAGGTTCTACCTCCTTAAACGTGTGGAATCATGGAATGTGTTGTATGCACAGTGTGCCGGGTACGCTGATCGCACGCTGCACACCAATATAATACCCAGCTGTGCATGAGTCCAAGCCTCACTTCATTCACAGAGTCAGTGTCACGGGGCTTCCTACTACTGCATAGTCAATATGCTGCTGCTATCAAACATGCAGCCCCCCCCCCCCCTCTCCCCTGCTTGAGTTGTGTCCTCTCCCCTGCTTGAGTTGTGAGTAGCCATGTTGTAGTACGATAGTTACACTGGTATAGTTGCTTGATAAGGTGATGAAATAGATAGTCGTCTGCAGGTCAGACTGTATCTATCCCGGCCATAAACCATGGCATAGTTCATGTGGTTGCTTTTCTGGCAACTATTCAATTCAAAAGTGGTGTGCTCTGTTTGTCAATCAACCAAAAAGGGTCTTGTTCCTGCTGTTTGTACATTATACAGGTCTACCCGACATTGGTATCCATTTTAGTGACAAGGCTGATGGCAGCAAGAAGACACTGTTCTTCTCTTGTGAGAAGAGTGCAACGACATCAGTCACGATACTCCTCACCAACATGATGAAGGCAGCACAGAGTCACACGAATGGCGACTTTGCCAAGGTAACCGTCACACCGCGGACATGGTTATGTGTATGTGGTGTGCATGTGGTGTGCATGTGATACCTGTCCAATGTTCATACACATGCATGTCCCCTACATTGATGCTTAGCACCGCAATGCAGTGGTGTTTAGGCCACATGTAGGCAAAGGCGGAAGTGGTGCGTTAGAGCCTCCGCCTCATCACCAGCAATCAGCGACATCGCGCCTGACAAAAGTTTTTTTCAAATAAAATATTTCCACCCAAACGTCACTAGCCCTGCTGGTGCTGAGCTCGCGCGATCGAGTGTGAAGTTTTTTTGTGATCTCAATGAAAATAAAAAGGATTTTTTGAACTCACGCTGTACACAACTAAACAAGCTAAACAAGCTCTCGATCTCTGCATGTCTTTTTCGGTGGAGGTGATTTTTGTTGTTGTTATCGTTGTGGCTGGCGGCGAGAAGGCTTGCAATTACGCTAGGTATCTCATAGACAGAATGAGCCTGGTTTTTACGCCAAGCTGATGTTTTCAGCAGCAGTCCGCTGCGGAGAAAATTCAAGCAGTCTTAGGGGCCTGAAGTTTTCGCTGCTTCTTACCGGATCGACAGTGGGAAAGAAGGTACGTTTATTTTATTGTAATAAATTAGGTCGCGAGGTCGACACAATTGAGCTGTTCGTTGCACTGTGAATTTTTGTTGCTTTAGGGTGGCAGCGTGCAGTACCTTGTGAAATGGAGAGACTTTATCCTTTACGAACTTGGGAGTATCAAGAAGATATCAGTGACGATCTATCAGGTGATTTCATTTCATTTTGGGTGAATTTATTGAATGTATTCTTGCATGAATTTGAAAATCTCCCTTTTGTTTGCTGTAGATCTTTTGATGGTTCGGGCAATGTTGGGCCCTTTCTAAGATGATGAATGTTTGAGGCTGCTGATGGAGCTTGCACTGCTGTGCAGTGAAAAAATAGAAGTGAAATAGTCTATTTCTGACTTTCGAATCAGAAACTGGACAAAGGGGACCGAAGAATTTCCCTGTGAAGTTCTTTCCTCCAGGTTGGGATGCTTGCATGAACGTACATGGACAAAGCCCACGGGCTCACTACCTGGTTACCATCAAGCCTATGATTCGCCGTAGTCCATGTACGTTCCTGCAGGACTCCTGGATCTATGACAGGAGGGGATCGTGCTGCCCGGCAGTTTGTCTCTTCCACAGAAAGGGCATTGATTAATCATGAGCTTACTGCAGAGCACAACGAAAGCATTGTAGCATGAAACTAATTTGTCTGAATACAAATCTGCACAATGGCACAGACGGCTAATTGAGGTAAAGCATAGCATCACCAGCATTGTATTCCTGGAAGCAGTGCAAGTTATAGATTTAGGTATCAATATTTATCTAAGATTTAGCGAAGTCCGGACGCAGTACATTACTAGTGTGAAAGATAGAAGAAAAAGCAATGATATCCGTATATACCCGGAAAGAGAGGTGAGAGTGGGTGGGATTAAGTGAAAGCACTTGTACAAGCTAAACATCCGTGCAACCGGAAAGAGCAGAGAAAAGGCTAAAGCAATTACACAGGCCATGTGTACGAGGTAATTTAGCAGTGAGACCCAAACATTCTTGTAAACCAGAATGCAGCTTCAGCACACATTTTTCTATTTCTTCATGTTGCGCTGCTGTTGCCGTTTCCCAACGATATGATGAGGCTCTCCGTTATGCTTCTGCTGGTTTTCCTGTGCAGGTATGTGCTGCCGTAGCTCAGAGAAATCTTTGGCCAGGGTAGCCAAGATGGCATCACCCACATCCTCCTCTCCTTCAGGTTCACTTGTAGGTTTGGCATTCGTGCTTGACATCTCCTTCAGTACTGTGTAGGTCTTCTCCAATTTGTTTTTGTCTGCCCATACCATTTGCACTGCTCAGTGATGTCGGCGACAGTCGCCTCCAGCTCACCATTTTCCATTTTTTCTTTACTTTTTGGCTACGCTGTGTGTCCTTGAGGTAGCATTTGAGGCTGACCAGTTCTTCTACCTTTGTTTTGCAAACATTCTTGTCTAGTGTTCAGTGATCGAACCCAACGTTGAAGCACCCTTGTTATTTCTTTCCGTTTCTTTTTATTCTTGTACGCCGCTGCCTGCAACCGTGCATTTTAATAGGTTTGCGAGAATCTCTTTTCACCTGCAGCAACCAGAGTTTGAAAGTACCGACACAAACTGGAAGTATGCCCAGTTTTCAGACAACTAGCTGCTTCAAAAATTCTTATGTCAGATGAGTGACTGGTTGCGCAGCCGACATTATGGTGACATAATGTGTCCTTGTAGTTCTGTTTATTATTACTTGTATATTTCACTGTTCGCGTCAAACTCGGCTAAAGGCCGAGTTTTCCGCATCCGTAGGAACGCCACCACCCTTCAAGGATCGTGTGTTTATTATAACAGTGTATTTTGTTATTTGTTTTGACCATCAGTCCTTGGCTGATGCTGGTCAAACCTTCAACATGTTGACACGTTTTTCAAGGCATTCAATATACGTAGGCCGCAAGATTCTATCTTTTCATAACGAATACAGATGGCTAGTGCTTCCCCACTAGCTGCGCAAGTGTCATATCTGGCTGCGGCCAACTACCCTTTAATTTGTGTGTTGTCTCTATTGCTGTCTATGTCTCTGTGTGTGCCAGTATATGAGGAACGAGAATTGGTGTTATTGTAGTCGTTGTTGTTGTTCCGGTTGTCATGGGCTGTGGCTATTGAATGTAGGCTGTTGCTTTTGTTGTTGTACTTTTAGTTAAAGCTGCATCACAAACAGGTAACCACCTTGATGATGGTGCACAATATCCGTTGAAGAAGCAGCAAAAAAACACTGCATTCTCAAACCAGTGAGCTGCAGAATGAAACCAAGTATCTAGCTGGCTAAGCTGTCAGCCACTCTAAACACTGTCCTCAAACCATACCACCTAGAAATTTACACCAAACAAGTTGCTATTTGTCAACAGGCAGTCATAAAATTCGACTCCCTGACTCAGTCACTCTACACTAGACTACAGTACGAGACTCGTACAGAGTAGATCTACTGACTGTAGTCACTGAGTAGTCTACGTCCTTGTAGTTGTACATACATGTATGTACATGTTACGGATTTCGTCTCGTATTGATTTACGCATGTTGTTGTATTTGGTTCTTGTCTTGTGGAGTCCAGTGTCTGATGTCATAAATATATGGTCTAGGTGTACGCGCGAGTATGGTGTGATGTGTGACGTATATGGTATGTGGTGCATGCAAGAGTACGCGTTGTCAGAGTGTGAGGATGTGCTTCCGTCTGTGTGAGAGTGACTGTCAAGTGAATGCTGTACATGCGCAGTGCTAGTTTGGTCTGGGAATGAGAGTCATGTGTGATTCGTCAGTGGTCTGGTTGTCTTGGTCTTGGTCATGTGTTCTGTACGTATTGGTCCCTGATTGGTCGTCTCGATTTGTCGTCGGTTTATTACTGCTTGTTCTTTGTTGTTTTCTTCGAGTCTTTTCCCGGCAGTCTTTCCCGTCGTTCACAAAGTTTGTCTTTCTCCTCCTGTGCCCTCGCCGTTAGAAGTGAATACTAGTATGGAAGCTAACTGAATGGTGCGTTGTTGAGTGACGGGGGCCAGGGGGAGAAGCCTACTTCATACATGACAGCATGCATCATGTCATGTCAGTACATCGACATGGCATGCATCCAGCACATGGCCATGGGAAAGCCCCTACAAAATGGCCTTCAGAGAAAGCCACGCGGTTGGAGAGGTAGTTGACTCGAAAAAACTGAGAAAGAAGTGCTTTTCATCTTCTTGCTGTTCAATGTCAAGCCAGAAACAATTGAGAAGCTGCTTGAAATGTGCAGAATGAGGCGATTTCCTAGATCTTTGAAGCTAGAAAGCGCACTGGACCTGCAATCTTTTGGAACTGGTCCTTCTTGAGGACAGAGATCAGACTAGCCAGGTGACTGACAATGCTGTGGTTTGTTGGCTGACAATATTTGGAGGAAGCTTCAGAAATGACCATGAAGAAGGTCAATTCTTGCTACCGTACTTCCCCACATATAAGCCCATGGGCTTATAAGTGAACATTTGCTACAAAAAAGATGTGTTGCTGTGTGAACATGTTCGTGTAGAAGCCCATGCGCTTATATGTGCAATAAAGGTTTGTCTGTGCCCTAAACAACGGTGTTATCACAATGCTTAGCAGTATATTCAGCTCCCGGGTGTTTCACCAATAGTGTTCACATATAAGCACTTGCGCTTATAATTGAGGGGTGCGCTTCTGTCCGGACATAAGCACATGCGCTTATATGTGCGGAAGTACGGTATTTCCTCAAGATCACCAAGGTAACAGATACTTTTCAGTGGAGAAGAAAATCATGATTCTTAGGAGTTGAGATCGCATCGGTTGTTCAATGTTTTTCACTTTCGTTTTTTTCGTTGTGTAACTGTTCGTCTTGTTGGCGTGGTTCACTGGTTTGATGCCTTACATTTCGATTATGGCCATAGTTCAGAGCAATTTTCTTCCTTCCAAGATCAATCTCTGCAGTAAATGCGCAAATATTTTACGGAGTTTCGGACTCTGTGGGATGTCATATAATTGCTGGTAATGTCCGCCAACACCAGCTTACCAGCCTACTACCATTACAGTCGTGCTCAATGAGATCTTGCTCAATGATATCTTGCTCAATGAGATCTTGCTCAATGAGATCTTGCTCAATGAGATCTTGCTCAATGAGATCTTGCTCAATGAGATCTTGCTCAGTGATATCTTGCTCAATGAGATCTTGCTCAATGATATCTTGCTCAATGACATCTTTCTCAATGAGATCTTGCTCAATGAGATCTTGCTCAATGAGATCTTGCTGCAGCTCTGTATTTCTGGAAGCCACTAGTCTTGTACTGATGGCTAACTACTAGTACTATGTGTGTGCGTTTTGACCGGTGTTTTCCTCTGGTTCTGTAGAGATCGGCTTTGCTGACACAGTCAGCCATGTCACTGCCGTCCTGGGTGAGGATGGAGCCTCTGCTGCCAGATGAGTGCCGAGAGCCAGTGCCAGCGCTGCGTAACGTGTAAGCTAACATCACACACACACACACTACAGCACATACTGATCACACTACATCACACTACATCACACTACATCACACTACATCACACTACATCACACTACAGCACACTACAGCACACTACATCACACTACAGCACACTACATCACACTACAGCACATACTACATTAAAAAAATTCACGGTTCGCGTGAGACTCGGCTGGAAACCGAGTTTTCCGCATCCGTAGGAATGCCACCACCCTTCAAGGATCAAGGCGCAGATGCAGCTCCTAAATCGGTGGGAGGTGAGTAGATCAGCTCACCAGCAAGTGGTCAAAGACCGAAAATCCCATTCACTGCATCCAAGTTTTCCTCGTGCCAGGCCACCCCATACTACACCCCATACTACACCCCATACTACACCCCATACTACACCCCATACTACACCCCATACTACACCCCATACTACACCCCATACTACACCCCATACTACACCCCATACTACACCCCATACTACACCCCATACTACACCCCATACTACACCCCATACTACACCCCATACTACACCCCATACTACACCCCATACTACACCCCATACTACACCCCATACTACACCCCATACTACACCCCATACTACATTACACACACATAAAAGCATCTTGTACGGGAAAGTAACACAATGAATGCAATGCTCGAAAATGTAATGAAAACGCACACTATTTGCAGCAAGGACCTCAGACACTTTGTCTATATCGCTCCTGCTAGCAGTTGAGCACTTTCCCCTGAGCTGCATACAATGGACCCACCAAAATGGATGGACGTCGATTATTCGCTCAAGAACATACTTATTCCCATGGCTAGCAATTACCCTGTATAACCAGCGAATAGCACATTATGTTTTATCGTCTGAGTGTTTTTGAACACGGAACTCGGAGCAACAAGAAAGCCTTTGGTCTCTGTTGTTCTGCCTTGGGCAAACGAGTTTTTTTTTTGTTATTTTTGTCTCTGCTTCCCACACTGTAGAACCAACACGCGCAGTTCCGATGCCTTTGCACCGCGTGTGAATCCAAAGAGGTGGGTATCATGGCGGCCGCAGAGCTGAACATGTTTCCTTCAAACGGTGAAACCATACTGGTCACGATGATACCACCGTCTTTTTAAAGTTGTACTACAGTTCTGTGCGCTGTGCTGTGCAAGCGTCCGCATGCTTATAGGGATACAGCCAGACCTCGCTTAACCACACACATCCGTACCCGGTATTTGACAAAAATATCCGGATAGGCGGGGGAACCGGATAATCGAACACGCATGTATGTATGCATGACATGCTGTAAGTCGGTAACCAGCGATTTTCTTCCGGATAAGCGAGGTCTGACTGTACAATGCTTAGGCTAAGCATTGTGAATGCCTCACACAAGACTGATAAAATGTGACTGCCCTGTATGGCTCTGAAAGGATATCTTCTACTAGTCCAAGTTGCCGTGAGGTCATCTCCTCGCGTTCCACGAGGTTGAAGCAGGGAAAACGTGTTCCACCTAAAGCAGAGCAGGTGCCAATATGGCCAGTAGCAGGGCAGGCTGTTGGCATCGTAAACATGGTAGCAAGTAAAACTGGCATAACTGAACAGAGAATGTAGATCAGCACTGATGCAAGAGCAAGTGAGCAATGCGACTTATACATTAAACGAACGTGTGTGCTGTAGACATTCATGATAATGCTTACAATGTGCCATGTCTAAAGTCACCCATCAGATGCACCCTTCTAGGCGGTCGTGCATGAGGCGCTCGTGCATGAGGAGCTCATGCATTGCACATGCCACTATTGTGACTCTCGTCTTTCCTGTTGCCGTGTGGACTGCTTTTCTAACGTTAGAATGTCCAAAACGGAGGCAATGTTGAAGCTTGTGACACCCGGGGCCGACCGGAGAAGCAAGAGATCAGCTACACCAACACGCGCTGCTCACCAGTACGAACCCAGTTCCATAAGCCGTTCGCGCTCCTTCCTCTCTTCGGTCGGCAGCAAGCGCAGCAATTCACGTCAGCGTCAGAGCAAGGACTACAAGCCAGCCGAGCCAATCCCGTACCAGCCTAACCCGCAACCCACGCCAACTGCCGCTGGCAACAGCAGTCTGATGCGCCGTAACTCTCTGCTTACTGCTGTGCAATCCACAAAGAAAGTGAGCGTCATTATTGTGTATATAATCATTAGTCACACTCCCACAGTGATTGTGGAGTGGAGCTGGGGGAGGGGGGGGGGGATGGGGGAGAGGGGAGGGGGGGGGGCATGCATGATCAGAGATGAACAGGTTGTAGCTTTCTGATTTAAGTTTCTGAGGGGCCGTTTACATGAGGAAAATAAGCCCGGGCTTATTCGCCTCGGGCTTATTTTTCAACCGTTTACATGACGGTTGTACGGGGCTGAGTTCAGGTAAGTGACTGCGAGTTCTGCGCGCATTTTATTTTTCAAATCGCACATGAACGCAGTGGTAAATGTTCGTGTCTGATGAAATTTGGATCAAGAAGTGCCGGCTCAGGCTTCTACTGCCTTTCCAATTGTCACTTGTTTTTCTAGAAGGTGAAGGATGGGCTAGGACCTTCCACTGGACAAAAATCAGAAGAAAACATACCAAGAAATAAATAAAAGAGACGCACTGTTCACGGCCACATCCTCTCAGGTACACGAGGCAAAATCGAAAATACGGAAAAACTCGCTTATAAGCCCAGGGCTTATATTCTTGACCGTTTACATGACGAAATAAGCCCTGGGGGTTGGATAAGCTCGGGGGTCAAGGGTAGGGCTAGTTCAGCTCGGGCGAGCTGAATAAGCCCGCCTGACCATGTAAACGCGCGCTCTAAAATGACTGGGTGACAGATCAAGGCGGGCTTATCGTAAGCCTAGGGTTGAATAAGCCCGGCGGGCTTATTTTTCTCATGTAAACGGCCCCAGCACTTTCTCACAGTCACCATTCTACTTCCTGAGGTTGTTAAATCATGCTGTTAACTCACCACTGATGTCGATGCTCTCCTCTTCTCCTTTTTCTTGTGTAAACATTTCTAATTAACTTGACAGACAGCTGGCAGCTTCGCACACAAAAAGCCACCGTCATCAAATCGGTCTTCGATATTCTCACGGTCATCCAGCAAGGCGGCCAACCGGTCCTTGCTAGCACCAACTGCTACTTCACTATCCCTGCCAGGCGATTTGTCGTTCTGTGGTACTGACGCCACTAGCAAGCAGACAAGCAATGGAGGTAAAGCAACAGTCGAGAGGAGGAAAAGCCTGCGCATTCGTCTATCGCACTACCAGCAACAGCGATCGGCGTCCAAAGAAACTCAGCAAAATGCTCGGTAAGCTGCAGTCCTCCGTATCATGCTGTTAACACAAACAATAGAGAGGTTCCGCATAACGTAATTACGTTATTAAAAAACGTAGTCGATCTACTGAAAGTTTTACGTAAACTACATGCGCATCTGTGTTCCGCCATACGGAGTTTTCAAATCACGTAGCTGCCCTTGGCAACTCCGAACGCGGCAGTGTACGACCAGATCGACCTGGGGAGAGAGTCATAAATGTGTACCCCAATCCACTTACGGACCAGCTACGTTACCAGAGCCCTATCTACGTACTCTACGTAGACAACTTTCCGTAAGTGGAGTGCAAACTCGCGAATTCACGGGTTTTTCCCGCCCACTAACGTAATGTTGCTCAACTTTACGTAGTGCGGAACCTCTCTACTGTGGAAAGATCACCACGTCATACATGTCACAGAGTGGTTTCACATCTATCACATGACCATACAGGGCAGCCATGTTGGTTCCAACTCCACTCAACTCCTGCATCTATAGGTCACGTGATGTCGGCCATGTTGGTTCCATTGTCCACATGACATGATCACTTTCTAGTTTCTACACAAATTTAGTCACATGACAAAGATGTGAAACCACACTCTACTAGTGTAGAGTCTCCTAGTCAGGATCCTTAGCATGTCCCTCTTTCTCTACATCAAGTGGCAACCTAACTTGAGATTGATGACAGGATTTCTGTTCTAAATTTCAACAGCCTTGTTGCACTTGTCAGGGCTGGCGCCACTGGTACGGTCGGTACGGCCATGGCTGTACCAAGAGAAAAAAGAAAAAAAAAGTCGGTCCACGCGCCACTGGTACGGCCGGTACGGCCATGGCCGTACCAAGAAAAAAAAAAAAGAAAAAAAAAAGTCGGTCCACGTGGCCGTGGAACGTCCAAAACCGGGGGGAAAAGTTTCAATGTATGATTTTGTACAGGGAATCGCCAGAGCGCAGGATTTGTCATCTAAATTCCAAAATTTTTCTGGGGGAGGACCCCCACACCCCCCCCCCTTACATATGGCCCTTCGGCCGCACCACTCCGCGGAAGCTGCCTCCGGCCCTGCTTGTACAAGTTGTAGTAAGCCAACTGAAGCATGCCGCTGAGCTTGTACATGCGGGTGCATGACTGCGTTCCTGGCTGTATAGCTCATTATCGCATGACCGTTGGCTTGTTGCACTGTGTCGTTTTCATCCTGCGCAGTGGCAATGCCTCGATTGCAACCGGTCTGGGTACTGTGGCTGAGCAAGGTACCCCCCCGCGTGTTGGCAGAAACAACAGCCAGCAGCAAAGAGCCAGATCTCGACTTCTGCAAAGCCTGACCAAGTCCAAACCTGCTCCAGCAACCGCCGTCTAGGCCTCCATCCCCGACTGACTATTGCTTGTTGTTGCCAAGTGAGTGGTGTGTTCTATTGTGAGTGGTGTGTTCTATTGTTGCTGTTCACTAGTACGTACTGTGCACGGTACTGCAGTGAACGTCTGTCATGTCAGTAACATCACGCTGCCATCACTCTAGCTCCGGCCAACAGCCTCTCAGCGGCGCATCTACGAGTATCTACCGAGTCGTGTAACTAACTTTGGCGTTCCGCCCAGTGTGAATGAAATCAATGGTGGCGCTGTGCTTCAGTGCAGTTAATTTTCTAGCGTTCTGAATGGCGATGAGCAAATAATGTTTGCCATGTTACATGCCACTCGCTAACAATGATAGGCACCACAAACGAACTCCTCTCACTTCTTTTAGCCTGACTAAAATTAATGTTCTCCAAGCTTTACAACCAATTCAATTTTGCTTTGCTCCTGACTATGAGCTATGTAGGTGCAAGGTTGCAGTGAGTTTTCCATAGTTCTTTGCAACTATTTCTCATAAATTCATATCACACTATGTTGAATGTTATTGTTGAATGTTATTAGCATTGTGCCGAAATGGCTCTTGGAGGCTACAGCAAGAGCGAGAGGTATGGAATCATACACCCGCACCACCCACCCATACACACACACACCATCGGCCAATCATTCACCCACCCATACACACACCATCGGCCAATCATTTCCTTCGGAAATAGTGGTCATGTTCAGGATTTGGCTGGGCAACGCATCATATTGTGGTTACAAGTGAACACCTAATAAACTTATAAACAGTGTGAAGAGTAAGGAATTTCGGAGCGAGATATGAAAGGCAGCAACGCCATAATTATAATGATACACAAATCGCAGAAAAGGTTCTTGCCAAAAACGGGGTACTGTGTGGTGTGGCATGGACAGAAATAATCGAACACAATGAAAAAGGCACTTACTTGTACAAATCTGCAGCAGCAGGAGAAATAGCACCCAAAATAAGCAAGGCAAGTAGGAACAGGTGTGTAAAAAAAAAGGTACAGGCAAAATGAAAATAAAAAAGTAGCAGGGAATATCAAACATCATCTCACTATCTCAGGTGGATAAAGCAACTGTGGCTATAGGTATGCTTATAGAGTAATAGGGTAGGAACCATGGCAACAAGGGTAAAATAAAATAAAAACTCGGAACAGCACAAGGCACAAACAATAGTGGTTGTAGTCACTGCATGCAAAAAGGTGCTTGTTCACTAAAAGGAGAACAAGCATACCTTGAAGGCCAAGTGGAGCAAGCAAACAATACAAAGATAGACAACGTGACAAAGATCCACTGGAAAATACACTAGTATATTGCACACACTAGTATCAGAGTGCAGGATTGGGCTATTACAACGACTATTGACTGGACTTATTCAGTGCATAAGCCCTGTACCAGAGCCGCATACAACAATTTCACAACCATTTAGGCAACAAAATAAAGTGAAGCAGCTATTGCTACAAGAACGGCCACTAGTCCAAAGAGAACGATGATGAAAATCGCCTGGCGTTGATCTGTCGAGGCCACATCTTTTTGGCTAGTGCTTGCCCCGACTTTCTTGGGTGGTTTCTTTGTTCGTTGGTATGGCTTACCTTTGGAGCTGGAGGTAGCTGCTGCACCTGCAGATGGAGACGTTTGGGCTTTAGGGGATTTGCGCTTGTCCACCTTGCCGTCAATGACTGTGTCGGCAGTTGCCGAGGCAATAGTGGTGAATGAAACCACTCGACTGAAGGAGCTGTAGAGACTGGTTGATTCGCTCACTGAACTGCTGGTCTTGACACGCACACGCAAGGAGTACTTAGTGCCTGGCCGTAATGAGGAGAACTTGTAGGACTGGCAACTCGAATCACCGGTGAATACCTGAGGTGTATAAAATACACATAAAGCATGCACCACGCACACACACACACACACACACACACACACACACACACACACACACACACACACACACGTATACACTGGTGTATTTGCAATGGTCGCAGGTCAGCAGTCAACATGTCCCAAGAGTAAACACAACAATTAGAGGCACCCAGTAGTGGGAGAGGCCAATACACACACAATACAATGTCATGAGTTTAATACTTACGACACTGGGATAAGAAACATTGGCTGTAAGGAAAACTCAACAAAAGTTTGTTTCGAATGTACTATGCCGGTGTTGTTCTGTACCAAAACCAGCAACAGATGAAGCTGGAGTCCATAGCATTAAAGCACCTGAGCTAAGATGAAAAGCTAAGGTGAGCTTGTGAGAGGCACAGATGTGTGCACTCACCGTCCGATAGTCTCCACCCTCCTCCATGCACTGTACTTCAAACTGACAGGACGCTGTGTAGCCCTTGTGCACACGGCCATCGGTCACGATCGCCTGCCAGGATAGCAAAGCCGACTCTCCTGTGATCGACTCCACTTTCACATCTAACACAAGAACACAAGAGCAAGCATAGTAGTAGCAGCAGCAGCAGCAAGAGCAGCAGCAGCAGCAAGAGCAGCAGCAGCAGCAAGAGCAGCAGCAGCAGCAAGAGCAGCAGCAGCAGCAAGAGCAGCAGCAGCAGCAGCAAGAGCAGCAGCAGCAAGAGCAGCACAGGGGTTACCTCACATACAGCACACCAAGGTGATACCAGCACCACAGCATGTACTGTTGTGGACATGAAAGACTACAGAAATATTTTCTCGTTGCTGCACCAGTGCATGAGAGCAAAACAAGCCATGCATGTGGGCAAGTAGAGTCTACATAGCACCCAAACCAAACTGTACACACACACCCACACCCACGCACACGTGCACACCCACCCACACACGGACGCACATACGCACACACAGATACACACACAGATACACACACACACACACATACGCACACACACACACACAACTCACCCCTCGGCGGTGGTGGTGGTGGTTCAGTTGTCTGGAAGGACTGCACGTCACTGTACTCACTGACACCAGCTTCATTCTCAGCACACACTCTCAAACGATATAGTGAACACGGCTCCAGATTAGTCGCCTTGTACGATAGAGCTGAACCATCGTAGACAGTCTCAAAACTACACAACACAAATATACACACAACGCACGCACGCACGCACACACACACACACACGCACAAACACACACACGCACGCCGGAACAGGCAGACTTTGCTATTTGCGTTTTTAAAAGAAGAGCAACACCAACAACAACGGCAGCAGCAAAGATCAGCAAGTAACAATGGTCAATTGGATAGGTAGGGAAACAAGTTCGAACAATTCAACAGTGATCTCTTTAGCCTGAAAAGCAAGTACTTGCACCACAGTAGTACATAGTGACCGGCTAACTTACGAGCTTTGGTTTCCTTCGGCGAGCTGAAGGCGATAGTCACATCCCTGGCGTGCTGACCATCTCAGTTTGAGCGCATTGTGATAACTAGCAGCAAGCTCAAGAGTCGGTGGAGAGGGACGGGCAGCACGGGTAGAGCCTGTCACAACCGGGCTGAACACACACACACACACACACACAGCAGCAGCAGCAGCAAAACACAGCTATGACAGGATAGTAGTTCACAGAGGCAGCATCCCAGCACTGGGTACACAGAGGGCAGAGCACAGCATGTCCACACAATCAGACACGTACCTGAACGGACCACTACCAATGCGGTTCACAGCTTGCACACGGATCCTAGATCAAGCAACAACAGAGATACAAGGTAAAGGGGCATATTCACACCAAGAAACACCGCTAAATGGCAAAGTAAAAGCTGAACACTCTGCAAAAAACCAAATCAAGCACAATTTACTCGGCTTAATCAAGCCAATACTGCAAGGCAAATCACAGACAAAGGCTCTCGCACTACAAATGAGAGACACTGGAAAAGGTGCTCCACATCCAAACCAAGTCAAAGAAAAGAACATGAAAACAAGGACACAGAGCTCTAGTCCAGCTCCCACACAGTATCATTCCTCATTACACACAGGAAAAAGAACAATGACAGTGGAAGACAAAACTTATATAGGTGAAAAGGGCGCAAAAAATGTACGAGGCATCCAGGCGTAGTATTCATGCCAACAGGAGCGTGCAATAAACTTCACATCATAAAGCGAAGGTGCGAACAAACTACCCATCGCTAAGGACCACACGAGTAAGTTCACACCAAGCCAATGACCACACACAAGTGGTGCATTGAGCCACAACCAGATGAGCAGGTGTGAAAAACTACTAGCTAGGGTGACACAATCATGATGAAAGCAGGCGAGAATTTCACTGACTGTTGAGTCACTGTTGCGAGTGCAGAGAGCTATTCACATGCGCACTACAGATGTTTGAAATGCCACTACACTTCCCCCGGAGCACACACGAAAAAGCGGACAGCACAAACAGCAGTGCAACTTACTTGTACGCTGTGCTTGCTCGGAGATCGGTGAAGGTTGCCCGCGTCGATGTTTCCGTGATGGTCTTGGAGTTGGCACCGACCAGTTCCAGGTAATAGTGACTTATCGCTTGGCCATGGCACGGTGGTGTTGGCCAAGATACCGTCAATTGATCACTGGTGGAGCTCACCTAGCAACAGCAGCAACAGCAACAACAGCAGTAGCATAGTACCAGCAGTCAGAGAAAAGCAGCACAGTGCTGATACACTGTAATACAGCTGTACTGGGTGAAGTCCAGTTTCAAGTACAAAGCTGGCGTCCCTGAGCCAGCCCAATAACATCACCCATTATATCAAGCGGCTATACGCGTACATACTCACTGCAAAGTGTACACACCTCATGAACACATTCTTTTTTTAGTTTTTTTATAGTTTTATTCTAAGCAATGCATGGCTGGGGTAGCCAATGACCACGGCTAGCATTCTGAACTCAGTACAGCTTGAAAACCTTGCACATGCCCTGCAGCATTGACACAGCTTCCAAGGCACACACAGACCCGTATCCAGTCCAACACTTACCAGTGACAAGCCGGATACAGCAGCAGGTGGACCATCCTGAGTAGTGCCACAAGCAACCAAACTCCATGATCCCTGGCCGGAGTCACTGACAGCCTGATTGGAAGATAAGAACACACACGTACATGTACACACACACACACACACAGAGCAAGGCAGGCAGACACTCATAGAGTAAGAATGATGGGCGAAAGACAAAGCATTAAAAGAAAAAAAGGAAAAAAAGAGCAGTCAGTCTAGCACTACGCATAACCACCCAACACACATACGTACACGCACGCACACACCCACGCACACACGCACCATGCATACATGTCGTTTACACACAAAGCCCACCCACACAAGGCTCAACTTACAGCCACACGGAAGGAATGAGTCGACGCCGGTTTCAAAGAGCGGACTGTGCACGATAGCTCCTTACCGCGATATACCTGCATCGAAACAAGCCAGCACATGACCACAGTAATACAGTAGTAATGATTGCATCTCAAATAAAATAGAGAGTCCTGGGTTTTCGGCAATCAGAGTGTGCTTGAACATGGTGTGTAGTTGTAGTAAAATGGTGTGCAACTATGGATACTGACAGGACTCACCTGAACATAACTATCGCCTTGTTGGTGCTCAGCCACGTATTCTCGTACCGGTGTGCCGTGTGTTGCAGCCGCCTAGACACATACAAACACACATACATATACACATATAAACACACGCACACACACACACACACACACACGCACAAACATATGCGCACGTGCACACACATACACAAACGCACACACATGCACACACCACATACATATACACACGTGAGTATACGCGTGAGTTCACATCAACAACTAAAACCAAGATCAACACAAAATCCAAGCTTCCTCACTGGTTGAACATTGCCAAAGCTGGCAAAAGAAGTAATAGCTTTCTTCTCATAAGATGAAAAATGAATGAAACAGACACCTACATGTTGAACAGTCAGGGCACAGACACCGAGTACAGAATACTTGTTGAGCACGTGTGGTATCGTTGTGGTGTTGTAACTCACCTCCCAGGTCAGTTGCAGTGCTGACGATGATGTGGCCGTGGTGCTGACATTCTCCGGTAGTCCTGGTGGTGCTGCGCCAGTGATAGCAGTGCAGGCTGATGAATACATGCCTTTCTATACTCAACAACAACAACAACAACAACAAAAATACACACACACGCACGCACACACACGCGCACATTATCAACACATTATGAATGAGGACATACGGTACTCGTGCACAGAGTGCTTTGAACATTGAAGTGCAAACAAACACACCAGCCAGCAAAATCCATGTGACCAAAGAACGGAAAAACCACAGGAAATGAAGACAATTACAGGCACGTTCACATGGGCTGGAATATACAGATGGCAAAGAACATACCCCGGCTGAGTTGCCTGCTTTGACACGGAATTTGTACGTCACTCCCGGTTGCAAGGGTTGCACATTGTGACTCGTCCGAGGTCCATCATACACTGCACGATACTCTGCATAACATGAAGAACATGAAGACAACACGAAAAAAATTAAGTCATATTAGGCCAAAACAAATAATGACCTTGTTTCCGGTCGGCCGATCGGGCCACTTTTTCCCAAATTCTGAAACTTTTTTCGGTCCCAAATGTACAAATGGTGGCAATACCATGTGTGCAAGTGCACTCAACGAGTCATAACTCAGTCAAATCTCAACCGAATTCCACAGTCGAAACACCTACAAGGTAGCATAGATTCTCAGCTGTCGGCTCGAAAACCTCTGGGGTCGATAGGAGCTAGAATAACGGAGCTGGAAGGACTCGAACTGTTTGCTTGATTTCTCAGGATGTACGAAAACAGGACTACACCACATGCTGTACAAGAACAGTGAGTCAGTCAACTTTGATATTGATCCTTGCCATGATATATGATATATGTACAATGTACATGTGTAGGTGCTCTTGTCCATCAATACCACAACGATTGAGGAACCAAAAAAAGTATCCGAAAAAGTTTCATTCCGGCCGACCGAGTCTCCTTATTTGAGGGGTTGCCGACCGGAAACAAGCCTATTTTTTGTTTTGGCCTTACGCCAAACGGTTTCACTAAGTAATGGAGCGACCGTCGTTGGCAGAGAACTTCACGGGGAGCATATACGCTACATGTGTGATGCAACGCAACAGAAGAATATGCTGTAGATGCCACCAAATGCACTCCTGATGGGTTATTCTCATTCCCCTCTGTTTCAAACGCACTACGTGTCCTGTCTTTTCAACGACTAAAACACCTAGACACACGTACACACACACACAGGTGCGCACGTACCATCGGATCCTTCGGTGGCAAGCTCGAGCGTGTAGGATGTGATTTCAGCACCACCAATAAATTCCGGTGGACCTAGGAGTTAAGAGGGTAGAAAAGCAAAAAAACATCACAGAATACAAAAGAAAACCGAATGAGACATGAGCTCCGTACAAGTATTAGGCAGTATGAACACAATAGGGAGATTTTGTTACATGTACAGTTACCGACCGAAAGGACGTCCATTCCGGAGATGTACACAGCCTACACCTTCATCATCCAAGTCCAAAAGAGCACCATCCAAGTCCAAAAGAGCACTATCCAAGTCCAAAAGAGCACCATCCAAGTCCAAAAGAGCACCATCCAAGTCCAAAAGAGCACCATCCAAGTCCAAAAGAGCACCATCCCAGTCCAAAAGAGCACCATTCAAGTCTAAAAGAGCAGCACTCATAAGTAAAGCGACCAGTTTAAACAAACAGCGGCTATGCAACTTACCCCATGCCACCATTACAGAAGACGCCTTGGGACGACCGGATACATACGGAGAGGATGGAGACCCAGGCACACAGGCGGGCAACTTGACCGACAACGGCTGTGCCCACTGTAAACATAGAGATGGAGACAAAGATACAGGTAAGCACAAGCACATGATGAGATGGAGACAAAGATACAGGTAAGCACATGATGAGATGGAGACAAAGATACAGGTAAGCACAAGCACATGATGAGATGGAGACAAAGATACAGGTAAGCACAAGCACATGATGAGATGGAGACAAAGATACAGGTAAGCACAAGCACATGATGAGATGGAGACAAAGATACAGGTAAGCACAAGCACATGATGAGATGGAGACAAAGATACAGGTAAGCACAAGCACATGATGCAAACTACAGTGTGTAGCCTCCATATATGGGTATCTACTGTCTATCAAGGTGAAGTTCCGTAGTCGCATCATAGTTGATGCAAATGCGTATAAACGGCGGAAAGTGGTGGCATAGAGAGCCCAACCTAGCTCAAGTTGTGCTCCAGGAGACGTGGTTAAATCCTGCTGGCATGCATTGTATTGTTCAAATAATGTGCTCCAGGGATTTCACCGCGATTACATGGCCAACACACTGTTGTGTTCTTCTTAGCTGCTGGAATGCCCTAACTCATGGGTGGTGCAACACTGTGTGTTGATGCACATACAAGTAGTCCTACCAAGAGTGCATAAACAAGAGCGTGCAACTCCATAGCTGGTCAGGTCCGTGCGAGACGCCGCCTTTTCTGAATCCATGACGCGTGCCATACAAAACGTGCGCTAATCATGCGCTGGGCACCGACCTACGGCTCGAGTTTGTGTTTTCGCCGCTTTCTAAATGAAAATGTAACCCTTTTCTCCCGTTGCTGTAGCGTATATCGTACTCATAGTGCAAGTAACAGTTTAGTGAAACCCTGCAGAATCCATGCGGCCACAGGCTCACAGTACATACATGTACCTCGTACCGCATGACTCATGATCTCCAGAAAAGTTCACATCAACAACAAAATTCCGCCATGGGGCCCAAACCCAACGGAGTTGCACAAACGTGTTCGTGTACTAGTGTTCTTGCTACTACCCTGCTGTATATGGCAACGATCTGCTAAAGAACCCTAGCCCCCCCCCCCTTTATTTCAAAGATTCATCGGACACGTATAGACTTGCCGTGCCACAAAGTCAACAACAGAATGAAATAGAAAGAAGCTTAGCAGGGGGTAGCTGGTCGGCAGAACACAAAGAAGGAGAAGCAAGCGCGGCAAAGTTACCTCTCCGGGTCCTCCCTCTTCAGAGCGGGCGGCGACACGCAACATGTACTTCTTGCCCGGTTCCAAGCTAGTCACCTGACACTGCCTGTCAACATCATCAAACACACTTCTGTAGGTCGTATCTGGGAAGAAGATCAAAGTTCAAACAGCACAAAAACGACGGTGTCCATGCCGAAATCACACTTCAAAATTCTGTCTCGAGCTCCCCCTCCTCCACCTCACTGTTATCCCTGTCATGAAAGAAGCATCTTTTAATTCTTTTCGCAGGGTTAGCCTGAAGAGCACCAGGCCAATGCAAGGCTGTCAGAAAGAAATGCAGGGCGGTACGGTCAAGCACCAAAGGTGCAGCTCGGTAAGGCATCTGTAGATCACGACCGTAGTGATCACAGCAGTTCCAATGGTCGTGGAATACCTAAAAGAGTTAGTCGACACAAACAACACATGTCACTTACCTGGCGTGTTGGCGATCTCAGCAATGTATCCGATAACTTCACCTCCCCCAGTGACTGTAGGAGGACCTACAATCAAACCAGGAAAAATAATGGCATTACAACGGCGCCGCCTACAGAGCACTGAGCACCATGGATCGACAGCGGACATCCTCAGCTTTCCAGAGAGCCCAAGATGATGAAAATCAGGTACAGGTGAGTGAAATGGCGATATTTTTAGTGCCCATTGTGAATAGTGCGTGTAGTGCCAGCGTGCGTGCTGCCAACTGTGTAGTAAATGCTCTGGCATTGAAGTGGTTAAACAGGACATTGTTAGAAGTTAGAATGGCAAGAACAGGGGAGTAAACAGAACTTTGCCTCCACAGCAAAACTTCAGGTCATATGATACATGGCATGGGCAGTGACTGGTAGTAGTACTGTGACAATCAGCAGCAGGTTCAGACGGGGAACCATGACAACCACCCAGGGTCTGTGCAGCACTTTGCTGAAACTAAGCACTGCTGGTGATAAGGTCCTCACAGGCACCACAAGTGTGTCCCAAGAAGCCATACAGCCGTGAGCAGACTATGGGAGGTCTATGGGCGCAGACAAGAACAGCAGACAAGACCACAAGACATGAACCTACCCCACTGAGCTGAAAAGGAGAATGGCTGAAGGGCACCGAGCAAGCGAACATTCTGTGGACAGCCTGCATGCACAAGCAAGACCAGTCAAGCAAGTTACTGTGAATAGGTTCGAAAGACATGGACAGCATACACGTCTAGCCAACTCTACAACATTCAGCTACACTCTCTTGATGCCAATTCTCCGTGCAATAACTTGTACCAACGGAAACCACCAAGAAAATTTAGAAAAGGTTGCCAAAGTTGCCTTTGCGCATGCTACTCTTGTTGCTATTCTACAGCAAGAACTCTTTGTCTCATTTTGCCCCTAAATCAAGTACATCACTGCCTGCACTTTGGTAATTAGTGCCACCCCGTCATCATCGGACAACGCATTGAACTGCATTGAAATAGATCATGTACAGGATATAGCCACCCACCTGGAGGCGCAGCTAAAGTGAGGAACGACGACACTTCACTTGGCTTGCTACTGCCCTGAGAATTGGATGCGCTGACCTGGCAATGTAAAACCCGAAATAAATACACACACACACACACACACACACACGAGCACGTACAGAGACACAGACACAGAGACACACATGCACACACACACACACACACACACACACACAGACACACAGACACACACACACAATGTACACGTATGCACACGCAGATACATACGCAAGTCAGGGTAGTTCGAAGTTACTTGCAGGCAATATCGAGATCAATACAAATATTGCTCGGCCAGCCTGTTGCACTAAGAGATCACATAACCTTGGAGATCGGTCATGCCAGGCATCAAACCATCTTGCGACATACTTTCACATCTGTATACAAAGACCATGTTCCATGCCGGCGTGAGAAGACAGTGTGCAGTGTGTAAACACAGACTTACCCTGAATTTGTACATGGTAGCCGGCTTCAAGTTGTCACACGTATAGCATTCAGCGTCTCCACTATAGGCAGCGCGGAAACCATAGTCCTGTGCACAGCACGACAACACACAGCAGGCATCAGTGGCTGTGCAGAAAGAGTGAGAGGCAAACTCCACCAGCTTGCATGCTCTGCTGTTCTGACACCCATAGTCACAATAGCTTCTGGCAATAGGTCAGACAACTCAACATCAGGCTGGAAACCTATCGAATTTCTCTGTAAAGAATTGCGACAGCTGTCATTTGAAGAAAAGCCGTTCGTCAAGGTATGAAATGTATGGACTTGCTTAGGGGCCATCCGTAAATACCGATATTCATTTAGAAACGAAAACTAGTCGTTTCTCTTCAACCCCCCCCTAAGAAACGAACACATACAAACGATGCATAGTATCGATATTTTTTCTTTTCTTTTCTGGACGTGCCCACACATACAAACTGTGCATCGATATTTTTCGAGAAACGAACAGGCGCTCAACCCCCCCCCCCCCCCCTAAACGACTAGTTTTTGTTTCTAAATAAATATCTATATTTACGGATGGCCCCTTACCGTGTCAGGGTCATCCATTTCTAACTTGCAGTCAGTGACTGACCCTGTAGGAAAAAATCAGCAGATACAAACACGCGTACACACGCAAACACAAATTAAAACACAGAGCTACCGTATGTATAGTGCTGTTGGCGGTCAGCATTCACTGGGACATCAGCCATGCAGCATACAGTACTATCACTAGACAGTACACTGCTTAAGTGCTAAGAAAATGCCACACAGCTGAAGCTCATCTTCAGTGTCCTATAGACATCAGAAAGAGTACAGCAAGAATGAAGCAAGTGTACACACACCACTGAGTGCAACGCACCCTGATTTCGAGCAGGTACATTTCATCGCTTCTATCACTTTAGATGAAGCATTGCAGCCTAGATGCATGTCTCCACAGTTGCACTGCCACAGTACAACCTGTAACACCAGTACTTAGTGTACATGTACAGCAAAACCTGTAACCAAAGACCACCATGACTTGTGACCAGCCTGGTACTACAGACCACTTCGCCAGGCACGGACGGTCCCACTAAAGACCGCTTTCTCTGGCCCCAAGGGGTGGTCGTTAGTCACAGGTTTTACTGTACTTTGACATCAAACATGTTGTACCGGTAAACAACGAATTACGCTTTCTCAAACTTATATGCGGAGTTGCATACTCTCGTTCATGTACTCATACTATTGGGTATTGACATTAGTCCAAGTGTACTGTGGCGTTGTGCAAATTGGCCAAATTCAGTGTATACAGTTGTGACATTTAACAGCTTCAATGTACAACAGACGGAGAATAATTATTAGGGCAGAAGTGCAGTCGATGACACAATGAATGTTGGTATTAATGTAAAAGATCAACACAGCGAACAGACAAGATCCTTGCCAAGTACACTTACCCCCGTTGCCTGCTGGTGTCTCCCATGCTACGGTGATTGAACTGGATGAGCGGCGTGCCAGGCTAGGTGCCGCTGGCACACGTGGCACTCCGACCTGTGTGAACTGCTTCGTCACCTGGCTGAAAGCACTGCATGCCGCACCACCACACATGTACACACACACAATGGTAAGGAAAGGCCCCTGGAAATAGCTTCAAGTAAACCTCCAACGTTAAAAGTGGTTGGAACTGCAGAAAGTTGATGCGATTTCTCCAGTTTCCTTGGAGATGGCTCAGTAGCATTGAGGTGGGTAAAGTGCACAAATCAAACAATACATACACCAGCAGTGGATAAGGTAGGCGTGTGTGTGTGTGTGTGTGTGTGTGTGTGCGCGCGCGCGTGCATGAGAGAATGCAAATAAAAAGAAAGAGAGAGAGAGAGAGAGAGAATGAAAAGAGAGAAAGAGAACAGAGGGCGAACCAATTCACAGCGCAACATCAGATGCAACCCAGGGCCAAAGGCCGCCATCACAGTTTCTCACCTCTTGCCGACTGAGTTCTCCGCACACAACCTGAAGGAGTAACCCTGGCCAGGCTGTAGTTTCTCTGTCACCTTGAACTGTCTTTCAAGACCAGTATACAACTCAACAAACTTGCCATTTCCCAAGCCCTGGGAGAACAGATAGACACATCACACGGACAAAACAAAACAAAAAGCAAATGAGGGAGAATGTCACTTCACAGCACTGTGTGTCATCTGATATACGGAGCAGCCCAGGCGTAGAATACTAGTAGTTCATTGCACCGGCATGAACAGCAAGATCTGGTAGTATTGTATCAGCCCAATCATGCCATGATCATGCAACCGGACCCTCGGTCTTATCTGAGGATGTTGGTACCTAAGTTAGAGTGGCCGTAGCACAGAGCAATGCCACATACTGTATTCCTTGTGATACATGTACGTCATACTGGTGGTAACTACACAGAGCATACTTAGGCTGGGTTCCTTTGACAAGAAACCACCAATCCCAGGTAGCACATGACAGGGTCTACTAAAGTAGTAAAGATACTACTCACAGTCCCCCAAAAAGATGCCCAGTAGAGGGAGGGCCAGATAAGGGAAGGTTGAGTCATTTGAGTGTACATGTACATGCAATGCCAAGCAGGCAGTTACTTGGCAAGATACATGTAAAGTTACTCAGATCAACAAGTTCTTAGCAAAGGGTAAAGAAACAGCCCAGACCAGACATCCACCGACATTTCAATATCGACCAGTGAACCCTACGCGCATACCTGATCCCACTCCAGTATGTAAGCGGATATGCCTGCGCCATTCTCGCTGACCACCTAAACGCAAGCAAAGAGCAAAGCGGACGGACTGTTCATGAGACCAGCTGGTGCACAGTGAACACATAGCAACACAATACTACCTACAAGAAAGCTTGCAGTCAGATGGAAACACGGGCACAAACATCACGCACCATCACAGAGGAAACAAACCCGATGCCAAATGTATAGGCACAGGTAGATGACTGTACAAACCAACGATATAATGAGTCAAACGAATGTGCATCTGGGAGACGATTATTTCAACAAGAGAAACGTTCTGCACTTACAGACCACTTCAACGTTATTGTTGCACGGGTGCGGTTCAACAAGCGCGGCGCATGGGGTGTTTCGGGTGCGGCGGCTAGTGTCTTTGCCGTCTCAACTGTGACAGGCACATCAAACAACCATAGCATTAGACACAGGCAATACACGCAAGTCAGAGCAGCAAAGAACGTACAAAATTACACCAAATACTACAGCACTCAGGGCAGGAGGTGTGGGCAAAACAGTATCAGAGAAATGAAATCTGCACTTGACTCGTGCTTAACGCATTTCTGACATGGGTCATCGTATTCCTATAAGTAGAGAACGAACGGCTCGTAGGTATATCTGTGTACATGTACATACCTGGAGAACAGTCACCGTTGAGGGTAGCTGTGGCTGCATATACTCTATCACAAGCAACACATTCATGAAAACACACACACACACGCGCGCGCGCGTGCACACACACACACACACAAACACACATTCATTTCAGTGTGTTCGGGTTGGCTATCGTACCATGCCATGTATTCCAGTTTGCGGAGGTATTCAGCAGGAAATACTACAGACATTACCAAGCAAGCAGCTAACTGAGACCATGAGCAACAGCCACTCAGATCGCCTTGAATACATGGCAGAAGAGATCACAGAGAACAAATCAAACAGCCACCACCCACCCACACACACCAACCCACACACCCACACACATAGCCACCTACCAACCCCCCACACCCACCCACCCACACAGCCACCCTCCCCCCTCCCACACACACACACATACGCACCTGAAAGAGTGCAGGACACCGGGTGAGAGACCTGTGACAAGATGCTCCAGCGCTGCACCCCTGAAAACACACACACACACACACACACAGAGGATACAGAGAAGAGCAAGGTATAGCAAAGTCAGCGCTATTCGCCATGCACATGCACCCATACATGTACTACAGGATGGTGTCAACAACGCCAGTTCTTGCTTCACCAATGCCTACAGCTTCTCCATATGGGATGGTATCAATAGCACATGGAATTAGTGTTCAAGTACTCTCATGTGAAGATCACCAGCACACATCGCCAGCACACATCGCCAGCACACATCGCCAGCACACATCGCCAGCACACATCGCCAGCACACATCGCCAGCACACATCGCCAGCACACATCGCCAGCACACATCGCCAGCACACATCGCCAGCACACATCACCAGCACACATCACCGTGTGCTCGCATAGATGTAAGAAATAGTTGACAACTACGAGTACTCACGAATATATCTTCTTGAAGTCAGGCGAAGACTCCACCGACATCTCCACATGGTAGTCGACTTCCTCCTCCACCTTGCTGGCCTCCCATGCGACCAACATCTGGCGGCTTTCAATGCCAGTCAGCTACATACACAAAGAAACCCAACACACCACAAACAAGTCAAAGTTTGCCCTGTTGCTACATGCCCAAATATGCATACTGTAAACCCCCTAATTTTAGCGACACATAAACCCTAGCGAATTTAGCGAATCAGTCAAAATCGCTAAAGTAAGGGTGTGCGAATCGCTTTTCCGAGATAATCGAATATGTGTACTAGCATTGCACCGACAGGTCAGTATAGAGGTTATGCGATAACGTCACATCCACCATATATAGGAGCCAGTTGGGGTGGCAAAATGCCCAAAGCGGGTACAGAAACCCCTTATATAGAAGAATTTGGGGTGGCAAACATACTACTATATGACGTGTATCGCATAACCTGGTGCCATAGTGGTTCATTCACCAGTGACTGACAAAAACCATATAAAGCAGTGGCAAACATGGGGAAACTGCACTGCTCATCCTTTTACGGCATTAGATGTACAACATTGACCCAAGTGAAAAGAATGAAGAAGTTATTTTTACAAAAATGCACGAGTAAATTTAGAATCACAAAGCTACCATGTGCTTGTGTGAGTATTTTGCATGTGCAGGGAACCCGGCGGCGGATTTCACTTGCCACGCCTGTGCACCAGAAGTGTCCAGCTTCTGCCCAGCTGAGCAAGTTCACTGCACCTTGGGTGCAAGCATTGCAAACGCCAGCTGAGCAAGTTCGCTGTACCTTGGGTGCCAGCATTGCAAACGATGCCTTCTTCTGCTTGACAGCGTCTGCAATCTCCTGCGCTCTCTTCTCGTCCGCCGAGAAGTGACGAGAAGTGCTCCACGCTAAAAAGAAACACCAGTGAAACAACAACACGATAGTCATGGTGAATACAACAAGAGACTGATTGATTAATACTGGTAGAGATTGATTGTAACACTGTGAAGAGATAGTGCAGAATGGATGCATTGGCAGTAGACTAAAGATGACTCCTACCATCCTACACACATCGGGGTGCCGGGTGTATTCAAACGCTGCATTATTGTATGTATGTGCGCTGATAAGTCAACGCGGAATTCAGGCGCTAAAGCTTGAGGGGCAGTACTATGCTTGGTGACGGCATTCAGACACGAGCTCAGAATGCCTGTTGAGCAATCTGGCCTTGTCTGCATTGCTGATGAAGAGGTTTTTCTGTCGGGTGTGGTAAGGCTCTGGGTCAGCATTGAGCATGTTGGCCCGTCCTCAAGGCTATTCTGCAATCCCAAAAGTGGGGACCCCAGTACTAGTGGTGTCTGGACAGAATTTCAAGTTCATGCCACATGATTTAGATGACGCAATTATTCGCGGTGCACATGTGCACGTCTTGTCAGACAACTCTGTTGACAAGTAGTGGAGATTTTATCCGCAGTTTGATCCTGCACAAGCTTGTGCGAGCAGGCAAACGTGACACACACCACCTTTATACAAACATGAGAGCTGCATGTACAAGGAGCATTGTATCATTTGTTTTTAAATGTCAACTTGAAACTCTATCGGGAAGACACTGTATGCAGGAGTTGCATACTCTAGGGGGTGATGTGATCTTGCTTGCATGCCATGCAGGGGATCATACAAACATTTCTTGTTTATACACGTACACGTCGTATGTACTTTGTACTGCGGGATGACCCCTAGTACAGTGCACCACTGAACTTCCATCCAAATGGAACACTGCACAATCATTGACAAGATGACCGTGGCAGGAAGACAGGACATGATATGCCAAATGGTGAAGAAAAAAAAAACATTAGAATGAACGCGGATGAAGCAGCAGGCATGCAACCTGCACAGGGCAGACTGGATTACCTTCCGCGGCGCCATTGCTATCAGCGGCCGGGGACTTCGTGCCTGCGCATTGACATTGCGTGCGTCAAGACAAAAGGCACAATGGCAGCACACAGCAAATGACCATGGCAGGACGTGACATGGGAGAAAAGCAAACTCACATGCCCAGCAACTACAGTTCGGGGCCTGGGAAATCCAAAGACAGTCAACACAACACATACCATGGCACTCCGGGAGCGCTGGTATTAAAATAAACATGACAAAAATCGGAAATTGGGCTTGCTTCCATGTGCACGACTAATTACGAGTACAATGTACCGTAATATTATTTGTGCATTGTGCATGAGCTTGGCAAGCTGCCTGGCCAAGTGTGCAGGAATATGGCCAAAACAACTGGCCAAACGTGTCCACCATATCAATATGAAAGCCTATGCTTTTCAACTTCACATTCTGCACCGCCACTTCATCGTACACAAAGTACACACTTGTGTCGCAGACTATTGTTTGTGTACTCGTAGAAAATTAATTAGCATTCGCACTCACAAAATATACACTATCATGTACTACTTTAGAAGCCGGAAAGCGGAGTAAAAATATTGGCCAGTCTAACTATTGTCACCGTTTACAATCTATTAGTATTACACGTTTACACTGCATTCACCTTTGGCTGCAGGTGGGGTTGACGGTGATGTTGGGCTAAGGCTGGACTGGCTCGATATGGAGCCATTGCGTCCTCCCCTCGACTCCACAAGCACAACCCTCATGCCAGTGCGAGTTTGTTCCTCAGAGAAACGTCTCACTCCTGGCCCTGGTTTACCCTTGATCATGGCTGCCACTACACGAGTCTTAGTCTTAAAGGGAAACTGAACGCCAAAAATAAGTATGGCTTATCCGAAGGAGAATTGGGCACTGATTCCGATGAGCTATGTCTCGAGCCGATCAGAGAAGAGGAACCGTGTCAAATTTCATAAATAACACCTTCCATATTTGGAAAATGGGCTTGATGACGTGCGTACTGCTTAGCTGTCACCATGCTGTGCATGCTCAGCAGTGTAATTGAATGGAAGAAAACAATTACTTTGGTGTTTTGCAGCTCTATTTCGTTCCCTGACGGTACCCAAATCTAGATGTAGGAATCTGTTGAGCAGGAGAGTGACACATGTCTTCCCGAAGGCTGTCCAGCCTGCAGTGGTGATGAAGAAGACACGAATAACACCCCAAGATCGATTGTAGCGAATTGAAAAACTCATGGTGAATTTGCTTCCACTCCAAGGCAATGTCGAGGTATGAAGGGTGTTTGTACTGCCTTCCAAAGTGAAGCGGAGATGAACATGGCTTTGCATAGCTGTTGTTCTACGCCAACTTACCTACTCTTGCTGGTACCGTAGTGGTATATTGCAAATTTCGTGGACGAACAATTTGAGTCACTAGTGGCTAGTGAGCAACACTAACAGGTGAGATTTTTCAATTTGATAAAAATTGTTCTTGTTTGAGAACAGACGGTGGCAGTCATTAGACTCAGTAGGTGTCTCTCTGCGGCTTCTTTCCCTTCATCGATAGGGTTGTGCTTGAAGTCGAAATAAATAGAACATGTGGAACAAAAATCTGATCATGTAATTCGAATTTCAATTTCAAAGTATGTGTACATCAAATCACAAAAATTTCAATATGGTGCTGTCCACTGAAAAAGACTGGGGCTGGCAGCAATGGAAAGGGTAGAAACGAAACCAGTAAAGTAGAGTATTCATAAGGTAGAGGGAGTTGAAAACGGGAGACGAGTAGTGAGCATTTCAGTTCGAAGTAGTGTCAATAGACAGCATTGTGTTGCATATGTTGTGAATACTGTGCGAATCTAATAATTGGCAGAGGGTAGTGATTAAGCAGAGTATTGTTACAATACGAGGTACTTTGTGAGCAGATAGCAATCAATATCACGACGTGGTTTAGACAGGAACTCATAAATGTCAAGAAATTGATAATCCAAAATTATAATTATTATCCCCTGAGTAGTATAATTATTATGGTGTTCTCCTGTGTTTACATGCAGAGCCTTGACGTTGCTGGATGAGCGACAATATAAAGTACATAAACGTGTAGCTCATAATGTGGGATGACTGCCGTATTGCATTGCCAACGCAAACCCATCCTGTGTCAGTGCAGCCATCCAGCAACGTACTCCCCGGACCAGATGCCGCTGCAGCTGAACACCATGCCGATGGAAAGCCAGGAGTTGATGGCGAAGCATTCTGGTCTGCACAGTACAAGGCAAAGAACAATAATATTATGAATTATAACGCATTGTAATCCTTCCCACACATCTTTGTAAAAACAAACAAACAGTGCCATTATCACAACACTTGATCAAGCATCTTGATGGAGGTATTTTCCATTGTGCTGGCCCAGCATCTGCACCAGGAAGACCATGTACACTTACAAGTATCTTGTGTGTGTGTGTGTGTTTGTGTATCCGTCTGTGCACACGTGTGTGTGTGTGGGGGGGGGGGCTGGGGGTAGACGCATATGTGTATGGGTAGGAGTGTGTGTGTGTGGGGGGGGGGGGGGGGGTTCCCACACATGTGTATGGATGTGCGTGTTGCATGCGTGTGTCTGTGGGATGGGGTGGGGGTGCACTGCACGCACATGTGTACATGTGTGCGCGCAATATAGAATGTGTGTATTGTGTTCGTTGAACACAGGGAGTCCTCCTGATTCCATAAACTTTGTGATCATTGTGATTGTATGTGCTTTGAAGTTGAAATTCGCAATACTTTGAAGTACATGTACTGATGCTTGATTAGATTTATGTTCCACATGTTCTATTTATTTTATTTTACTTCAAGCACTTGTACTATCAAGCACAACCCTACCAATGAAGGGAAAGAAGCAGCAGAGACACCTACTGAGTCAAATGACTGCCACCGTCAGTTCTCAAACAAAAACAATTTTTATCAAATTGAAAAATCTCACCTGTTAGTGGTGCTCACTAGCCACTAGTGACTCGAATTGTTCGTCCACGAAATTTGCAATATACCACTACGGAACCAGCAAGAGTAGGTAAGTTGGCGTAGAGCAACAGCTATGCAAAGCCATGTTCATCTTCGCTGCACTTTGGAAGGCAGTACAAGCACCCTTCATACCTCGACATTGCCTTGGAGTGGAAGCAAATTCACCATGAGTTTTCCAATTCGCTACAATCGATCTTGGGGTGATATTCGTGTCTTCTTCATCACCACTGCAGGCTGGACAGCCTTCGGGAAGACATGTGTCACTCTCCTGCTCAACAGACTCCTACATCTAGATTTGGGTACCGTCAGGGAACGAAATAGAGCTGCAAAACACCAAAGTAATAATAATTATTGTTTTCTTCCATTCAATTACACTGCCGAGCATGCACAGCATGGTGACAGCTAAGCAGTACGCACGTCATCAAGCCCATTTTCCAAATATGGAAGGTGTTATTTATGAAATTTGACACGGTTCCTCTTCTCTGATCGGCTCGAGACATAGCTCATCGGAATCAGTGCCCAATTCTCCTTCGGATAAGCCATACTTATTTTTGGCGTTCAGTTTCCCTTTAATCGCAGGAATCTATAGGAAATATATACAGCTCCAGGACGGGAGCTGGGTTCCCGTGGTCAGATAGAACTGAAAAAATAGGGATACGCCTGAGCTGACCCGAAAAAAGTGAAACGTCGGTCACCCAAACAAGTGCAGTCAAAGGAAAAATCACTTCTCAGCTCATGTGCAATCTTCTTTTGCATTCAAGGTGCGCCATGCGGATGAAGCATGGAACCACGTCAGCACAGTCGAGACATGTTCGAAATGAGTCACGTCATGATGAGCAGAGCAGTGCAATGAGTGCATGCAGTATCCAGGTATCCATGGACAGTCTAGTAGCTGCTAGCTCTACCTGAGCTACGAGTACGAGTAGCCTACGACTCAAGATTACACGTAACAATACCGTACTATACTAATAGAAAAGCTGACAGGATCGCTTTTCTAAACGTACAGTATAGTAGCTCGCGAGCAGCACTAACGAGTAACGAGTTGCCTGGTTACGTGACTTGAATGATCAGTCGTTGATGACTGCAGTAGAGTGTTGTCATGATTGTTGTTGTTGTTTATTTTACTTCGCAGATTCTAACGGGCAATGCTAGCTAGCTGGCAACTGAAATCCGACCCCTGAGCGCTAATAAAAAAGGAAGTAAAATAATTAATTAGTTTGGGCGTGCTCGATTTCACTCACTTCTGCAACAACGACGTTAGGGCTAATACGTCCCCATCCAAGTACACTGAGACGTATCGTTCGTATCCTTTATACTACATGACTGTATATAAGTTATGTAGTGGTCTACCTGTACAGTCATGTAGTGGTAAATCCAAAACAGGCAAAAGCCTAAATGACACTGGACCCTCTTGGGTAAAGCAATAGTGAGTGTTTTTGCTAGGGGTGAAACAGTTACCCTATAAGGTTACAAAAGGGTACCTGGCTTACCGGACGGGTTATCGGGTCCCCTTTAGCAGCCAATAGTAACAGTGAACCCTGCAAGATTCTCTAAATTGTCAGGATCGTACGACCACACGGCACGAGGACAACTCTTTTCCTTTACACAGTATATTTCACTTCATCTGATAATTAACAATGAACACTAATAACACCAGCTATTTATAGCATGCAAAAAACAGCGTACATGCAAAACATAAGCAGATAAAACTGGACATAACAGCGTATACAGCAAAACGCACACAACGCATATAGCGTATGCCATGCAGCAGCATCAGCGGTACGGCGGAGTCGAAATACAACATTTCAACGAATACAATGCCATAAGCGCGAAGGCCTTTCCCAATTGAGAACTGGTGGTTTACAACATTCTCCCCACCAAAGGGCTTCTCACCGCCGTACAACAATGCACACAAGTCAAAAACGATCCGGGGCTCTGACTACGCGCCCAGAACGCGTTATCTCCTGCTGCCGTGGTGGTGGTAACGGTGCTGACGGTTCATACGCTGGCTGCTGAGGGACGATAGCAGGTTGAGCGGTATCTGCAAGCCCAGGAGCCACGTCCTGTGACGATACTTCTAGCGGCACTAACCTTTGGATCGGCCTCAACAGGGTACTGGTACTCAACTTAACCTTGGCAACACGACGCTTACCATCTCGACCAGGGAATAACTCGATGATCCGTCCCAAACGCCAGAACTGTTTGCGCTTGGTATCATCGAGAACAAAGACAACATCACCCACAGCTAAAGGGCGCGACATGGTCTGTTGGTGTTTGTTCAGCTGACTTAGGTACTCCACCTCCCAACGATTCTTGACATGCTCCAGTGTCCGACTGAGGTAACGCAATCTCGATGACATCTGCGCAGCGTCCAGGGTACCTGCTGGCTTCTCTGACGACATCCAGATGTCACCCATCATCATTGCAGGGGTTACTGGTGGCTCATCCAGGCTATCAGACACATAAGTTAGCGGACGACTATTCACCACTGCTTCAACCTCATACAAGAGGGTCTCAAGCTCCTGGACCTTCAGAAACGCTGTTCCCATTACCTTTTTCAAGGCACTCTTCACTGTACCAACCATTCGCTCATAGAAGCCTCCATGCCATGGTGCAGCTGGAGGATTGAACATCCATGGCACACCCAGTTTGTCAGATGCGGCCTTGAACGTTGTAGCGTTGTCAGACCTGATCCGAGACGGCAAACTACGTCTCGCGACAAACTTCCGAAATGCCATCAAGAATGACTCGGTACTTAAACTATCGACCACCTCCAAGTGAACTGCTCTGGTGGTGGCACACACAAACAATGCTATCCATACCTTCGGAGATGACTCACCACGGCGCACGTACAACGGACCAGCATAGTCGACGCCGGTAGTTGCGAACGGCCTCTCGTGAACAACTCGGTCTTCCGGCAGCGGCGGGCAGACTTCTGAGGCAGCCTTAGCCTTGTAGCGGCGGCATGTAACACATCGCTGAGTAATGTTGCATAGCGCCCGTCGACCACCGATAATCCAGAATTTCTGACGGATGAACGACAAGACTCCTTCTACACCTTGGTGCATCCTTTCAACATGCATTTTCTCCAACAGCAACTCGGTCAGATGATGTTTGCCTAACAGGACTGGGTGCTTGGCTCCATACGCCAACTCGCTGTGCTGAAGTCGTCCCCCGGCTCTGAGCACTCCATGCTCATCCAGAAACGGTGCAAGCTGATACACCTTCGACCCAGGCTTCACTGGTTGACCTTGCTTGATCAGCTCAAGATCCTCAGCGAAACATGCGGCTTGAACGATGCGGTACAATACGTTGTCTGCTGCAAAATAGAGTTCAGCACGAGGCTCAGCGTGCTTCCACTGCAACATCCGAGTCACCATGCCCTGTGCCCTCGACCATTTACTGAATCGGAGCCACCATTCCTTATCAGATTCTCGACTACAGGTGGTGGCTGACACTCGTACTTCTACACTGGACTCATCTGTAGCTGCGGTTGAGGATGCGGTGGGCCAGTCATTGGGCTCCGTGATCCAGGTTGGTCCGCCCCTCCAGAACGGACTACGGATCTGCTGTGCACTACTCCCACGCGACGGTAAATCTGCTGGGTTGTGAAGGCCTGGGCAATGGTTCCACACAATGCCGACCTTCTTCGATATCTCTTGGACTTGACTGACGCGGTTAGCCACAAATGTTTTCCATTTGTACGATGGATTACTGATCCAATGAACGGTAGTGAGACTGTCAGTCCAGCCATAGACTTGCGTGACGGTCACACGCAGCTCCTTCACCACAAACTCAGCGTAGCGAGCCGCTAGACATACTGCTTGTAACTCAAGGCGGGCTAACGTGGGTGGAGACACGGGTACCACTTTGGCCTTGGCAAATACCAAGTGTGACTGTCCATTGACGACTGCATACAAACAACATCCAAACGCTTTCTCACTGGCATCGGCGAAGGCATGAAGCGCAATTGGCGTGTCAAGATTGCAGCAAATCCAACGTGGTATGTCAATGCTCACCACTTCGGCCAACTCTCCCCACCATTGCGCGCATGTGGCTGCGATGCCATCAGGCAACTTATCATCCCAGTCGCCTCCGACTTTCCAGGCTTGCTGTAGCAGTATCTTTCCGGGCACAACTGCCGGTGCTGCTAGACCTAGCGGATCAAACACTGACGCAACACACTTGAGGAGGGATCGCCGGGTCCAAACAGACGGCCTATCGGACTCGCCTAGCGCTGCTATGCTGAGCAAGTCATCACTGGTTTTCCATTTCAGACCGAGAACTTTATCTCCGGCCTCTGGATCGCACGGGATTTCGTTGCCTCGCCACTTGCGTAACTCCATGCCAGCATCCGTAAGCACACGCACGCTGAACTCTTGCATCTCCTTAGCTTCCGAGGCATTTGAGACACTAGAGACCAAATCGTCAACGTAGAAACTCGTGAGCAAGAGATCAATACGATCTCGCTCTTTGGGTGCAGACAACGCCCGTAGCTCCTTCAAGTGATGCTGAATCACCGCAGTAAGCATGTACGGCGAGCAGTTTACGCCAAATGGCAGTTTCGTTAGCCTCCAGGTTAACAGTTCATCGCTGTCGCTTCGACCGGGCCACAAGAAACGCAGGAACGGACGGTCTTCGGGATTAACCGCGACCATGAAGAAAGCCTTGCGGATGTCCGCTTGCAGCGCGCTCTTATATTCACGGAACCGTAATAGCATACCTGCGAGACTCGGCAATAGCGACGGTCCAGGGTCAACCATGTCGTTCAACGACTTGCCATCTGGAGCCGTCGCCGAGGCATTGAACACCACTCTTAACTTCGTGGTTGCAGCGTGCTCGCGGAATACGCCATGATGCGGTACATAGTACCCGGCATCGCTCTCACATGGCTCCAGCTCAATTGCTCCAAGCTCGCGGTACTCCCTGATCAGCACATCATCATAGAGCGCACGCTTCCCATTCCTCTTCAGCTTTTCAAGAAGCCGCGTTGCGATGACTCTAGCTTGAGCAAAGTTATCCGTTGGCCGACGCTCATTTCGCCACAAGAGACCCACTTGGTACCCGCTGCCCTGGCGACATAGCGGGAAAGATGGCAGGTGCTGATGTTGTTCTGGAGGTTCGTCCAACTGCCATAGTTTGTCGATGTGGGCTGTGACACATGACACGGTCACCGGCTGACTGTTTCGACTTGGTGCAGACGCTGGACCAGATAATACATTACCTATCTCTGTGTTCCACACCGTCTCACCATTAACTTCCTTCTTGCTGTGCAGTACCGCGTTGATATAGTCTGCACCAATCAGCATATGTATTTCGTCTGATGTCCCTTGTTGAGGCTTGCCACTCAGCTCTACTCCCCAACTGTGCCACTGCGCAATGGTCTGCGGACTTGCGCACTTCAGGTCCAGCTGAAGTGTTGGTTTCACGAACGCGCGTACCCGAATGCTAGCGGAGCTACCCTGGATCGTGATGGCGTACTTATCCATGCGCTGTTGGGTTGGTTCCGCGCCGAACGGCTTCACCTCTACATTTTCAACCCCAACGTGTTCTGCATCGATTGCTGACACCAACGCTGCAGTCACGAATGACGCCTCAGCACCCGAGTCCAGGAACACGCGAACCTTCGCGTTTCGAGTTCTTCCCTCAACTCGTGCCACTCCGGTCATCAGCCGCACACTTGGCGAGTGTAGACAGCACGACCCAACATTCTTCTCCGT